CTGATGCTGCAAAAGAAGCTGTTTGGATAAGGAACTTTATCCAAGGGTTGGGTGTAGTACCATCCGTTGTTGATCCAATAATGATTTATTGTGATAACAATGGGGCTATTGCGCAAGCAAAGGAGCCAAGATCTCATCAAAAATCCAAACACATTATGAGGCGATACCATTTGATTAGAGAAATCATTGGTAGAGGCGATGTCGTGATGGAGCGAGTCGACTCAGCAGAAAATATAGCAGACCCCTTAACTAAACCCTTATCACAGAAAGTGTTCGAAGGACATCTTGAGAAGATGGGTCTTAGATACATGAGTGATTGGAACTAGGGCAAGTGGGAGATTGTTAGAGTAGGGTACCCGGCGTTCCAATCTAATTGGACGTATTCTACTTGTAAATACAGTCTATTGGAATTATATTATGAATAAGGCATTTCTTTATCTTAAGAGAAAGCATTTATCTTATAATTGCACTTAAGATAAAATCCCTAGATCACTTATGGTTATAAGGTATGGTTGCGCATAGAGATGGTGATCATGGAACATACCTTGAAAGCCGTGATCTTAAATACAGTTCCAAGTCGATGGATGTTTCGAGATGGGATATCGAATAATCCATAAAAGACTTGCACATAGTTTGTATGCTTGTTGGACAAGAATGTTGCATTCCATCAACATTAGCGTAAGACGTAAGTACATTTATGTGGGTGCTTGTTAGAGAACAAGTTCACTGAACATGACCGTATGAAAATTCTTAATGAAGAATTTATTCAGTCGAATAAGAATTTTCATGTTACAATAGTACATGACTAATCCTAAGACTTGAGGCACAATGGTAACTTTGTGCATATTACATTCTACTTTGATTTATCCTTTTGGTAGCTAGCACTATCGTTTAAAGGGATAAGTTGGGTATTATGTTGATATGTATGGAAGTTTGTTAGTGGCCAATAAAGGATTCGACACTTATGAAGATAAGTGAATTTCCTATGTGTTTCATAGTTATTAATCCAAAGTCCTTGGCCAAGGCAGAGATGAATAGTGATTCATAACCGGGTTAATAAACATGAAATAGAATCATAGTTATTAAGTCAATTTGGGTTTCGACAAAATCATACCCAAGACTTAATCGGGAAATTAGATGTCGAAAGGATTTTACATGTATGGAGTTGTAATCGGAATAGGTTTACTCGCTATTCACTTAATACTAGATTCATGCTACTTGCTAGGTGTTACCATGATATGTGGGTTCATAAATTAAAGGGTTAATTCATGAATAAGAGTTAATAAGATTTAACTCAAATTACAAAGTGTTGTAAACCCACTACTAGTATTAAGGTGAACCTAAAAGGTCACACTAATTATGAACAAAGGTAAAGATTGTATTTCTAATGGTTAGAATTAATTGATAAATATCTAATTTGATTAGATATCAATTAAAGGAATATATTAATCAATAAGATTGATTAATTACATTTTGGATATTACTTTAGTAATTAAGGTAATTACTAAATTAATAAAGTTGAATTTTAAAATAGGATTTTAAATTTCAAAAATCCAAAATAATAATAATATGATTATTATAATATTGGGAAAATGATATAATAATAAAGTCTTGAGAAAGATTCTCAAGATTTATTATCCAATTATTATTTATATCTTTAAATATGATTTAAGGATTAAAATAATAAATATGATTATAATAAAATGGTTGTTGATGGTTGTTTGAACTACTTAACATATCTTATTATTTTCAAAGTCAAAAGTTAGTAAATACTATTTAAATAAAATTTGATTTTATTTAATATTACTAAATGTTGATTATTTTATGCTAAAATGTTTAGTATAAATATATGCAAAATGGTTTTGCATTTAAGTGAAGTTTTTGATCCTAAATTTCTAAGTGTTAGAAAGAGAAGAAAGTGTTCTTCATAAAACTTCAAGAAAGAGTTCTTAAAATTCCCAAATAAAATTCATAAATATTCCTATACAAGAAAACCGAGTCTTTTCTACTAGCGAAGGAAAGTCGTCGGAACCGGGCTTCATAGGGTGGATACGTTTAGAGGGAAGACACTTGGATTCCTCTAGCGAGTAACCTCAAGTCGTTGAAGTTACAACCGGGAACCGATTCCCTCATCCATCATCAATAGTGAAGGAGTTCAAGACATTCGGTAAATATTTTACTAGTATTTACTTTATAGTAACAAATCAAAATTTGTATATGATGCATGTTTTAAAGATGACGATCAGTTAATTCGCAATTAGTATGTACGGGTGTTGTATTTATACGATAAATACTTACTTTAAAAATTTTAAATTTCGCTGCGTACAGCCCGTACGGTACTATCGAACCCAACAGTAGGTACCTCACTCCTATAAATAGGGTGAGATGTGTGATTTCAGTCATTACATTCTGTATTATACACAATTATACAGAAATTCATCTATACTTCATCTTCTATACATACTCATTTGAGCATCAGAGGCTCTTCACTGAAAAGCCCCTCCGGTGTGAGAGTTTTTGTAGGTCTAAAGGTGTTCAACCAGTGAAGGAGCTCAAGAGCAGGCCGATTCCAACCAGTTAGAAGCTTTTACGTACCAAAAAGTTAAGACGGTTTTCAAAACATCAATTCTATATCCTTTAATAGCTTGTTATTTGGGTTGATTTTGTATTGATTTTCGAGAGACATGAAAGAAAGCAATTCAATAGATAATTGAAAGAAAGTAAATTCGTGAGGAATAATGGTTCGAAAATATTGAAGTTGATTTTTATGAGTTGTGGAATGCTTTGTTCGTGTATTTGTACTTATTTAAGAACATTTTTATTTAATTAATTAAATATTAGCTGTTAATTAAAAATATAAGATAGGATGTGTATTATTGTATTACTAATTTGTCGTTAGAAATATTTCAAAGTAAAAGTTTTTAGGTAGTTTATTTTTTAACTAAAAATATAAGATAAGATGGCTATTATTGTATTACTAATTTTCTTAAGAATATGTCAATGTAAAAGTTCTTATTGTTTTGTTAAAATTGTAGGTACGTAAATAATTAGTTGAAAATATTTTGATCTCTTATAAGTATTTATTATGTTGTTTTTGTTGTATCAATTTTCTTTAAAGAATTTTTATATATTAGAATTATGAAATGTGATTACGATTTTACCATTAAAATTATAATAAAAATAAGGACGTTTTCAAAACATCAATCCTACATCATTTCATAACTTTGTTATTTGAGTTGATTTTTGAGAGATTTGAACAAAAGCAGTTCAACAGATATATGGAAGAAAGAAAATTCATAGGGAATAATAGTGCGATAATATTGAGATTGATTTTTATGAGATGTGGAATGTTTGGTTCGTTTATTTGTACGTAATTAATTAAGTATTAGTAATTAATTAAAAATATAAGATAGGATGAGTATTATTGTATAGGTAATTTGCCATTAAAAATATGTCAAAATAAAAGGTTTTTAGGTAGTATATTTTTTATTTAAAAATATAAGATAGAATTCGTATTATTGTATTACTAATTTTCCATAAAAAAAGTGTCACTGTAAGAGTTTTTACGCAATTCAATTTTTTACAAAATTATTTGTCCTTTTATAATAGTATATATATAGATAGAGAGAGAGAGATAGATTTTTCTTCCCCATGTTTTTGCTTTTTTTTTTTAATTTTTTTTTTGTAAAAATATTATTTTTCTTTTTCTTCTATCTTTTTTTTTTTTTCCAAAATGATAGATAATATTACAAATCAAAATGCACAAATGTACGAATACACAGCCTCTACCTGAAAGGAACAGTCAACAGCTGAAAAAGTGGGAAGACATGTCAGAAGACCGCCTAGAATCTCGACGCTAGCAAAGCTAGAAGAAAAACACTCGCAATTACACTAAAACCAACTAGACAAACAAACAAAAATTATTAAAAAAAATCACACCAAGATAATACCAGAGTATCTGATTCCAACAGGATAATAAATTGACAACCGGACTCATAAAAACTGCTAAATTCACATGTGGATTTTTCGCAAAGTACTGGGCGGCTCATATTAATATTATCAAATAGTTAATTACCAAACTTAATATTTAGGCTCGAAAAATTATGTACGAGGGATGTCTTCTTTTTTCCAAGTAAAATTCAGTATCGTGTTTTTCTGATTCGCCATGGCGTTAATATGAGTATATGACATTGTCCCAATTAATCGTCTTAGTTTTTACCATTAAATTATAACCAGAAAAAATTGAATACTTCAAACCCCACTATCATATACACAAGTTTTTTTTTCTTTCTTTTTTTTAGATAACAACACCTTGGGAGGGTGTGAGTTAATGCCAAACCCCCAACATGTATATAAAAAAAGGCCTTAAATGGGCTGAAAAGTCACAAATCTACAATCCGATGTCCAATAAACAACAGTTCAATAAACGAGAACAAAAAGAAACAAATAAAAGAAAAAGACAACAGCAACAAATAAAGATCTAAAAATCTAATCCTGGTTAAGAAAGAGTCGAAAAATCAACATCACGAGAAAGCCTTGTTTTTTGGATGTTTCTTGGAAATGAAATTATGGGAGTTTTTATCTTTGAACCAGCCTTGTTTCATTGCAGTTCTCATAAAATCAGTTACTTTTTATTTATTTGTCAAAGAGAGAAGAAAAAATTAACAACAAATGCTTGATCTTCTACCAATTTAATTTTTAATATAGAATCGGCAATCAACACAAGTTACAAACTAATCCAAAAGAAAAAATTGACCATTTCTATGTACGTATGAGTGAAAAATAATGTCAAGCTTTAGGTGAAAGATAATCATATAGTATTGTTCTTTGATCAAATCTTACATTCACGATTTGGCTAATTCAGTTGGCATCTTGAGAAAGAAATCTACATGACCATTTCAAAGTTTTATTTATTTATATATTTTTTTAATTACTAAAATCATCGACTCATTCTCACGGTACAACTATAAATAGTCACGGTTTATGTGCTTTGCAACACATCAATCTCTAAACAAGAAACAATCTTAGTAGCTAAGTACGTACTATTTTCAGATCAAAGTAATTAAAAAAAAAAAAAAAATGGCCTCTCGTCTGCTTTTAGGAGTTGCTGTTTTGGCATTAGCTACTTCCTTAGCTTATGCCTCTGATCCAAGCCCTCTTCAGGATTTCTGTGTTGCAGTTAGTGATTCCAAGGCCTCCGGTAATTGGTTTAATAGAATGCATTATCACTTTTTTCAATAAAATTTGTCATCCTAATGATTTGCTAGTATAAGAAAGTGTTACTTAAGATATTATATGGAACATTTAATAAGTGATGCATCAAAGTGTTACAAAAGTTTATTCAATGTAACACATATATTAAGTGTTACTAAAAGTTGCCAAAATTATTAACTTAGAGAAAAGGTTGCAAGAGCAACTGTAGCACCAATAATTATGTTACATATTGTCTATAGTAATATTTAATGGCTATTGCGTAACACTTTTTGATGTTACATAAACCAATTTATATTGTAGTATAATGAATCTTGCTTAATCTGAGACTGAAGTGGAGAGGGACCAACATTTTCATGACTAGATATTAATATTATTTTACTTGCAGTGTTTGTGAACGGGAAGATATGCAAGGACCCAAATCAGGTGACGGCCGACGATTTCTTCTTTTCGGGCCTCAACAGGCCCGGAAACACATCTAATCCTCTCGGATCAAGAGTCACGCCCGTCAATGTGAACCAACTCCCGGGCCTCAACACGCTCGGCATCTCTTTAGTCCGAATTGACTATGCACCAAACGGTCTCAACCCGCCACACACACACCCTCGTGCAACCGAGATTCTTGTGGTGGTGCAAGGCACTCTATACGTAGGGTTCGTCACCTCAAACCCGGCGGACCCAAACCAAAGGAACAAGCTCTTCACAAAGACGCTAAATCCTGGGGACGTTTTTGTCTTTCCGGAAGGTCTCATCCATTTTCAGTTCAATGCCGGGAGGACTAATGTGGTGGCATTTGCCGGACTTAGCAGCCAAAACCCAGGAGTTATTACTATCGCCAATGCGGTTTTCGGTTCGATGCCTCCTATTTCGGTCGATGTCCTCACCAAAGCTTTCCAGGTTGATGGGAATGTGATTAAGTATCTTCAGGGCCAGTTTTGGTCGGATAACAACTAAGTAAAATAAAAATATATTGTGCACGCTCATATAATATATTTATGTATGTGAACTTTATTTGTGTAATTGTTCTCCTGTTTGTTGTTTGGAAATAAAATATGTGAAGTGATGAATAATGTAAGTTTTGTTCTATTTGGAGTACTAAAAGTTTGTTATGTTTATCAATATATTGCAATTTAAAAAGGGCAAATATTTTTTTACACTCCGATATATATATGGTCTTAATTTCTTTCACATATTTTCTCATGAATTTTTTTTAACCCCAAAATTTACGAAACTATATGCGATATAAAAATCATCTATCAAATATACCGTATAAATAAAAATTATGCAACATTATATATATATATATATATATATGTATGTATATTAACGCATATCAGACGCATAGTTAACAATACAAAACATATTCGCATATTTATTATTCGTATATCCAAATTCAGCGCATCGTTTTTGTTATGTGAATTTATTTCGTATATATAGTGATCGCATATCCAAATTGATAGCAACATATTTTATGATTATGCAATAGGTTTTCACATATTTTACGTCTCGCATATTCAAATCAGACGCATAGTTAAAAATATGCAAAACACTTACACATATTATGTAAACGCGTATCCAAATCGGACGTCGCATATTCTATATTATCACATATTTATCGCATAGTTTACGACTTGCATATCCAAATCCACCGCAAAATTTACCATATGCAAGAACTTTTTGCATATTATGTTATCGCATAGCGAAATCGAACGTCGCATATTTATGTCATGCCACATATTTTTGCATAGTTTAGAAATCGCATATCCAAATCCACCACATAATTTACCATATGTGAGAACTTTTTGCATATTCAAGAATCGCATATTAAAATTGAAAGTCGCATATTTTATGTTATGAGACATTTGTTCGCATAGTTTACATCTCGCATATCAAAGTTCACCATTTAATTTACCACATGCAATAATGTTTCGCATATTAAAGAATCGCATTTCCAAATCGAATGTCACATATTTATGTTATTCCACATCTTTTCACATAGTTTATTTCTCCTTTTGCATAATTTACATCTCGCATATCTAAATCCATCGCTTAATGTACCATATGCGATAACGTTTCTCATATTAAAAAATCGCATATTCAAATCGAATGTCGCATATTTTATCTTATGCGACATTTTCTTTCATAGTTTACATCTCACGTATCCAAATCCACCACTTAATTTACTATATGTGATAAAATTCACATATTAAAAAATCACATATCTAAGTCAAATGTCACATATTTTATGTTATGCAATAAGTTTTCGTATAGTTTACGACTCGCATATTCAAATCTATAAAGTTGTATAATTAAGGATTATGCGTAATATGTTCGCATATTTAAAAATCGCACATTTAATTCGAAAGCCGCATAATTTAGTTATCCGCCATTTTTTCCAGATCCATATCATGAATTGCATATCGAAAGAAAATGTTTCGCATATTATTCGCATAATTTTCGCACCGCATTGATTGTTTGTTTTTCACATAAAAAGCTTAGAGAAATGACATTAGACAAATGACATATACTTACATTAGTTGTCGATGTATCTATGCCACCATTATTACAATTCATGAATTATAAAATTTAATTACTAACCTTTCACTTCTCCAAACAAAAAACAAATAAATAAACACTAGAAAGAGTAAAATCTTGTATTTCGGTCGCAACAAAAAAAAATAAAATTAGGCACAACGGATAAAAATGAATAGGATTTCACGCAACAAATAGATCGCGATCCGCTTTTGTGGCGTGGGTGGACCAAAGGTGAGGAAGATGCTTGCTACCGAGTGTTATTCAAGAAGTTCTGTGAGAAGACTAGAGATATAAATGGGCCGGGTCGGGCACGGGTTTTGACAAACCCGAACTCGACCCGCATGTAATTTACTCAACCCAAATCCGACCCGTTACCCAGCTAGTAATATTCGAGTTCGGGTTGGGTTTTACCCAGCGGGTTAGTGGGTTTTCGTCGGGTAAACGGATAACCCGAGTCTCAAATTTGGGCTTTACCCAACTCATCTTGTTTCATATGAAAAAATAAAATAAAATAATTTCACAATTAATTATAATGTAACAAATAAAATATTAACTAAGTTTGACATAAAAAACTATAAAAAAATTATAATATTTTTGGAATAAATAACGAGGTATAAATATTTATCTTTTATAGTCTATTTAATATTATAACATTTAAAAATTAAGTATTTATTTTTTTATTGTACGATGAACAAAAAATGATAATAAAATCATAAAAAATAAAATAAATTTTGACCACTAATCAAAATTATAATAAATAATCTAAATTTTAAAGATAACACATGACTACTTTTATAATTATAATAAGTTATAAATATATATATATGTATGTATACATATAAGATTCAATGGTTGCGGGTAAACGAGTAGGGTAATCGGGTCGGGTAATGAGTTTGCCTACTATACCCGCACCCGACCCGGCTCGGGGTTCGGGTAACATAATTCTACCCGAACCCGACCCGAAACCCAATCATCTTGGGTTTACACGACCCGAAAATGCGGGTAACCCGCGGGTAATCCGACCCTATGGGTTTCATTGACATCCCTAGAGAAGACAAACATTCACCGAGGTCGTGATCAATTCCTTGTGGCCAAGACGAAGGCAAAAAAGGTTTTTCATCCCTTAAGTCACCCCCATTTTGCTTTTGGTCCTGTTACTGGTCCGTTTTTTAAAATAGTCCTGTAAGTGAAAAAAAATTATTTATCCTGTGGTAAGAAAGAATTGCTTTTAATTTTTGGTCCTCTGACCACCTATAGCAGGTCAGAGAGACCGGCTATGCCTACGTGGAAATTCATTTAATTTTTTATTTGCTGACGTGGCAGTTAGGTGTCAATTACATGTAAATTTTATTTATTTTTTTCTTTTTTTATTGCTAAGGTAGCAGGTGGCAAATATATAAAAAAAATGGCAATGTGAAGGTTTGCGCAAATACATAGGTATGCCCTGGCACACAGGTGTGCCAGGGCACAGGGTGAATGCACGTAAAAAAAAGGAGCGTGCCCTTAAATTGAAACTCTTGTCCAAAATCATGTCCCACGCGCAGAGAGAGAAAGAGAGAAAAAAAGGCGGTAAAAAGTTCTACTTCCTTCCGCCAAAATTGGGCTCATTTTTCAAGGCAAAAAATTCTCTTTCACTCCAGCTCAAGGCGATTTTCTCTTCTGAAGGCGATTGTCGATTATATCTTCTGCAAAACTGAATTTTTCGATGGTGATATTAGAAGATGTAGACGCAGCCCTGAGTTTTGTAATCTTGAAAATGAACATGTTCATTTTAATCTGGAGAATGAACATGTTCATTTTGGAGATGGAAGTGTAGTTGGGTCTTCCAATCTGGAAAAAAGTGTAGTTGGGTCTTGCAATCCGGAAACAATTTCTTTATATGAGGATGAACATGTTCATTTTAATGAAACCGCGGTAAATGTAGACGCAGCCCCTGGGTTTTGTAATCTTGAAAATGAACATCTTCATTTTAATCTGGAGGATGAACATGTTCATTTTGGAGATGGAAGTGTAGTTGGGTCTTCCAATCTGGAAAAAAATGTAGTTGGGTCTTGCAATTCGGAAACAATTTCTTTATTTGAGGATGAACATGTTCATTTTAATGAAACCGTTGTAATATCGATTGATGAAGACGATGAACATGTTGATTGTAATGAACCCGCGGTAATATCCATTGATGAAGCCAATAATTCTGTGGTTGAAACGGGTGAAGGCGCAGGTAATTCAGAAAACATGTTCATTCTACAATCAAATATGTTCATTTCATAATGAAAGACACTCATATAAACATGTTCATTGTTGTATATAAACATGTTCATTTCATTTCATTTTGTAGAAAAAGTTCATTTTGGTTTTAAACATGTTTATTTCATTTTGTTCTTACACATGTTCATTTTTTATATAAATATGTTCATTTAGTTATTAAACATGTTCATATATTAAATCGGTGTTTATTCTCTCTGTTTTGGAAAAGTTCGATATGGAATGTATACATGTTCATTTCTTAACTCAGCATATTCATTTATTAACGGAACATATTCATATTTTTGTAGAAATCGATGATGAAAAATTGCTTGGGATGAAATTTAATTCCTTGGAAGATGCTTATGAATTCTACAATTCATATGCGAAGAGACATGGTTTTGGAGTTAGAAAATCTTGGTCAAGAAAGAAGAAGGATGATAATGTATATCGCAAACAATTTTGTTGCAATAAGCAAGGGTATAAAAAGCAAAGTGGGCAAAGAGAGGAGTTATACAAAATTGGAAACGCGGGTTGGTTGCAAGGCAATGATTCAGCTTCTTTTGGATGGTGCTAATTGGATAGTGGAGCAAGAAGTGGATCAACACAACCATGAGTTAGTTCCATGCAATCAAAGCCTGCTATTTTCGCTCTCACAGGGATATGCCTTCGAATGATGTAGCGTATTTGTCACAATTAAAAGCAAGTGGAGTTGGTGTTACCGCTGGTTATAGGGTTCTTTCGGATCAAACTCGTGGTGTTCAAAATATGCCCTATACAATAGTTGATGCCCGTAACCACGTAGCAAAGCTTGAACAGAGAATTTGGGAAGGCGGTGATGCAGATGGCCTACTTAATATATTGAAAGAAAGACAGGCCCGAGAAGATGGATTTTATTTTAATTATGATCTGAGTAAAGTAACAGCATCATTGTGTTCCATTTTTTGGCGGGATTCTCGCATGAGGAAGTATTATGTTTGGTGATTTAGTTGTATTTGATACTACTCATAGGACAGTTAAGTACAATATTGCATGTGCTCCATTTACAGGGATGAACCATCACAAGAGAAATATTATGTTTGGTGTTGGTTTTTTGCTTCATGAGGACAAGGATTCATTTCAGTGGTTGTTGGATGAATTTATGAAGTCAATGGATGGGAAGCAGCCTGCCACAATAATGATCGATGAAGATGCAGCCATGGCAGCTGCAATTCTATTGGTGTTAATGCAATCCCGACATTGCTTATGCACCTGGCATATTGACGAGAATTCAAAAAAGCACATTCAGTATCTTTGGATAATGCCCGGTTTCATCAATCTTTTTCATTTGGTTTTGAGATCAACGGACACAGTACCGGAATTCGATTTTTATTGAAAAAAGTGAGTTATTCAAT